CCCAGAGTTGGAGGTCTCCAGCTCTGCAGGACCGAGGGCTGCTCGTTTCCATGCAGCAGTGGCTGAAGAAGCTGAGGAAGGGACCAGACTTCTGGCTGAGCTGGCGCAGCACATAAGGCACCCAACGTGGGGCTGAGTATGCCATGGCCGAGCGGGCTTGCCACAGGTAGTGTGATGGACCTTTTAGGGCTAGTGAGGTAGAGAAGGGCCCAACCCAAAAGATACGAAGTCCATGCTAAGGACTAGGTCCATTTTCCTGTAAGTTCTGGGAGACCAACAGAGAATCAAGGAGTGAAATTTGTGTTTTACAGAAATGATGCTGATGTAGACACTCACTGGTGTGGGAGAGACCAGGGGCAGAAAGCCAAGTTGGATGTCTAAGTCGAGAATATGAGGGCTTGAACCAAGGCATAGCAGCAGGAATCTAAAGCAAGGTATTTAGGAGAGGGGTTTTACAGGATGTGATAACTGCATGTTGAGAGAGACACTACCATTGCTGGGTCTGTAGATGTCACACTTTGTTGTTAATTTACTTTTTTAGAAGGAATGTGTTTTCTAGGGATGGTATTCCAGAATGGGAAAGAATTACTCCGGGAATGGGTGAGGTTGGTGATACTCAGATTTCAGAGGGGCTTGAAGTGTTTGTAGCTGACAAGTTGGAGTCAGTCCTTAGCCTTTTGCACGTTGTTGGAACCGGCTATTTTCACAGCAAGTTTCAGGCAGCACTTTTGTTCTTTGGGCAGGTGTGTGCACACGCCACGCAAGGTAAAGCTGGCTCTCCCCATAGTGGGATCTGAACAGGCCGCCTTGCTTTTGACATCTCATAGTTTTCAGCTTCAATAATCTCTGCTTGTTTAGCTGATGTCTTACATGGCATCGTTTCTTAATTTAAGGGATTAACGTCTTTCAAAACTTGAAATAAAAAGCAAAGTCATTTTATTTCCTCCATTCATGTGGAAAATAACGAAATGCCAGTCATCTCTCTCTAGATCAATGGCTTGTTGTATAGGAGGTACCTCCGGAATGGCCGGGGGGAAGGGCTGCGTAGCACAAGGTGTGTGGGAAGGGTCTTCCCTGCCTCGGCACATGGTCACCAACCGGCAGCTCCAGGTGTTCTCTTCATTAACTAAGAATTCTTACCCTGCGTCTGGCGGTGTTCTATGTGCTTTACAAATAGTGATTCATGTAATTATCCTAGGGACCCTCTGAAGTAGGCACATTTCATCCCCATCGTACAGATGCAGAGATTGGGATATGGAAAGGCCCACACGCTACCAGGAAGTAATGGAGCTCGTTTTGAACCCGGGGGTCTGGCTGCAGAACCCATGCTGTCGGCCACAGTTGTAACTATGCACCTGAGTCCGGGAAGAGGATAGAAGACATAGTGGTCTCTTCATTTTAGACATTGGTCCTACTGTGAGCCCTACGATGGGGTAGACAGTGAGGACAAAGCAAGTATATGTGTTGTGTCCTGAAGATACCCCGAGCCTCATTGAAAATAGAGACTGGAAAAGACTTAGGATGCAATGGTTAAGCTAATCATAACGTTTGAAAGCATTAGAGAAGACTAGGAAGTACCAAAGATGAAAACTAGGAGAAGGAAGCAAAGTAAATAAAGAGCTTCAAGAGCAGTTGAGAGGCCAGCCAGTGCCCTCTGTAATAGGTAGGACAAAGCAAGTACATGTGTTGTGTCCTGAAGATACCCCGAGCCTCGTTGAAAATAGAGACTGGAAAAGACTGAGGATGCAATGGTTAAGCTAATCATAATGTTTGAAAGCATTAGAGAAGACTAGGACGTACCAAAGATGAAAACTAGGAGAAGGAAGCAAAGTAAATAAAGAGCTTCAAGAACAGTTGAGAGGCCAGCAGTGCCCTCTGTAATAGGTGTCATTGGTGAGACTCGTTCAGTGGCGTGGGGGGCAGAATCCATAGCGCTGTTGTTTATATAAATGTGTATAAAATTGCAGTGGAAATTGTTACTATCTCCAGAAGAGAAAGGGGGCAAATCATATTAAAGAGAATAAAATACAAAAGAAGTATAAATGTAGACAAAATAAAAATATTTTAACACAGTAATCAAGAGATTGAAATTTAAAATATAGTCTAAATTTAAAACAAGTTAAAAATGCAATGTTTATAGACTTTTGCTTCTGACCAAGATGGAGTAACAGGGAGTGGATTTATCTTCTTGCCCAAACAACTCAACAGCAACAAAAAGGCAAAGTACATGAAACAATTGTTTGAAGACACTGGATGTCAGACAATGCAGGACAGTCATCTCTGTGAGATGGAAAACCAACGAGGTAAGCCCTCTGGTCGCCCCAGCGTATTGCCTGGAGAGGGTTTCCAGGTTACAGCAGAGGAAGGTGAAACTGCAGTGGAGCCCAGCAGACTCCCAGAGTGTTGGGCGTGAGCAGCATCTAGAATGCAGTGAAGGGAACACTGTCACCCTCAAATAGTAAGCAAAAATATATTTCAACAACAAAGGTATAGAATGGGAGAAAATATTTTTTATATGTTCGAATTGATTTTTAGAGAGAGAGGAAGGGAGAGGAATAGAATGATAGAAGCATTGATGAGAGAGGAACATCATCAGTCGGTTGCCTCCTGCACGCCCCCACGAGGGATCGAGCCTGCATCCCTGGCATGTGCCCTGACCAGGAATCGAAGCGGCAACCTCCTGGTTCCTGGGTCGATGCTCAACCACTGAGCCATACCAGTGGGACAGGAGAAAATATTTAGAAATCATCTATATCTGATGCTGGCTTAATATCCAGAACATTTACAGAAGTAAAACTTAACAACAAAAGTCAAACAACCCAAATTTAAAATGGGCAGAGAACTTGAACAGACATTTCTCCAAAGAAGGTCATACAAATGGCCAAAGCACATGAAAATAATGCAAACTAAAGCCACAAGGAAATACTACTTAACAACTACTAGGCTGGCTATAATAACTATTTCAAATGGAAAAACACATGTTGGCAACTTTGTGGGAAAATTGGAACCCTTGTGTATTGCTGGTGTGAATGTAAAATCATGTAGCTGCAATAGAAGAGTTTTGTGGGTCCTCAAAAAGATAAACCTTAAAATTACCATATGACATAGCAATTCCACTCCTAGGTATATGCCCAAAGTAATTGAAAACAGGGACTCCAGCAGATTCTTGTATGCTAGTATTCATTGCAGCATTATTCACAAAAGCCAAAACCCAGATAAATGGATAAACAAAAGGTGGTCAGTCTTTACAATGGCATATTACTCAGCCATGAAAAGGAATGAAGTTCTTACTACATCATGGATAAATCTTGAAAACATGGTAAGTAAAATAAGCTAGACACAAAAACACAAATATTGTATGTTTTACTTAGATGATATTACCAGAATAGGCAAATTCATAGAAACAAAGTAGACTAGAGGTTATTGGGTCTTGAGGGGAGGAAGGAATATTGCTTAATGTTTAGGAGTCTCTGTTTGAGGAAAAGTTTTGGGATTAGTAGTGATGGCTGCACAACATTGTAGATATAATTAATGCTGCTGAATTGTACACTTAAGCAGAAAATTTTGTATGTATTTCACCATAATTATAAAGACTAGTAATGTAATATACTGAAAACCATTTAATTTGTATGCCTTGAGTGGGTAAATTGTATTGTATGTGAGTTATATCTCAATAAAGCTGTTTTAGAAATGTACAAAGGCAAAATAAAGACATTTATTTTGTCTGACTTACAAAAGCCGAAACAATTTGTTATTAGCAGCACACGTTACCAGAAATGTTAAAAGAGTCCTTCAGGGATAAAGGAAATGAAACCAAATGGGAGTCAATCTCTACAACAGCGGTTCTCAACCTGGGGGTCGCGACCCCTTTGGCGGTCGAACGACCCTTTCACAGGGGCCGCCTAAGACCATCCTGCATATCAGATATTTACATGACGATTCATAACAGTAGCAACATTACAGTTCTGAAGTAGCAACGAAAATAATTTTATGGTTGGGTCACAACATGAGGAGCTGTATTGAAAGGGCCAGAAGGTTGAGAACCACTGCTCTACAAGAAAGAATGACAGGCACTGCCAAGTACACAAATAAAGGTATATTTATTTATTAATATTTAAGTATCTTTAAAAGATAGCTGGCTGAGCATTAGTTTTCTATAGCTGTGTAACAAATTTCCACAAATGCAGCAGCTTCAAACAGCACTCACTAGCTCACAGTTCTGTGAGTCTAAGTCTGAAGACATGTGGCTGGTTTTCTGCTCTAATACCTAACAGCTGATAGCAGGTGTTGGCTGGTGTGAGTTCTCAGCTGGAGGGTG